TCATCTCTACAATAAATCAAAAAATCAGCCGGGCATGGTAGCGTGTGCCTGTAATTCCGGCTACTCGGAAGGCTGAGGCTGCGGTGGCTGGGAGCGGCCTGGGCAACTTGGTGAGACCTCATCTCTACAGCATGAGGGGGCCTGAGGGAAAGGATTGCCTGAGCCCAGGAGGTCAATACTGCAGTGAGCCATGATATGCTGCTGCACTCCAGCCTGGGCAACAGAGCTAGACCCTGGTTCAAAAAGCAAGCCAGGTGTCGTGGCTCATGCCTGTAATCTCAGCACTTTGGGAGGCAGAGGTAGGAGGATTGCCTGTGCTCAGGATTTTGAGACCAGCCTGAGCAACATGGCAAGACCTTGTCTCTACAACAAATTTTTAAAAATTAGCCAAGTGTGGTGGCACATGCCTGTGGCTCTAGCTACTTGGAAGGCTGAGGTGAAAGGATCATTTGAGCCCAGCAGGCCGAGGCTGTGGTGGCCATGAGCATGCCACTGCACTCCAGCCTAGGTGACAGAGTGAGACTCTGACTCAAAAAAACAACCCCTCCCCCCTGCATTAGTTTCAACAGACATTTATTGAATGTGCAAATAACAACTCAAATGTCTGAGAGATGGATTTGGTTGATTTTTTACATACAAGAGGTTGAGGACATGTCATTTATGTAGTATGTCCTAGGGAACAACAACCTTGCAGAGTCAGCATACCAAGTCATCTGGAATTGATCAATCTGAAGAGAATTAGCTTTTCCGCATAAGAAGGTAAAGGCATCTTCCCACAGCTATTCTTTAAAGTGAAATTCTACATCTTTGAGATGGTCTGGAGTGTGAGTGAGTAGACAGAGGTCTGATTGGATGTGCTAGATGAATTCTGGGTTCATTCCATTAGTTAAGCAAGCAAACAAAAAAACCCAGACGAAAACCATAAAAAGATTTCTCTTTAAAAATCAGGGCAGCCGGGCTCGGTGGCTCAGCCTGTAATCCCGCGCCTTTGGGAGGCTGAGGTGAGT